GTACATACACATGCACACACGCACGTATACACACGCACGCTAACATGTACGTACATGTACATGCACACACGCACGTATACACACGCACGCTAACATGTACGTACATGTACATGCACACACGCACGTATACACACGGCCAAGGCGATGTACGGTACAGCAGACACACGCACACGCACACTAACATGTACGTACATGTACATGCACACACGCACGTATACACACGCACACTAACATGTACGTACATGTACATGCACACACGCACGTATACACACGCACGTATACACACGCACACTAACATGTACGACATGTACATGCATACACGGCACGTATACACACGCACGCNACGTGACGTAAACAATGCCGAACCTTCTATTCTAGCTCGAGTATTATGCGCGAGATGTCATACTTGCGTGCCCCGACAGATGGCGCTCATTCCTGTCTGCGTGTTCTCGTCTTGTAGGGGCTGCAGAAGGGAGCAACGAGCACGCAGGTGGGTCTCATCATTGGATGCTTCCAGCTGGTTGGCTTCATCATCTCCCCGATCCTGGGAAAACACGTGAGTGATGGCGCCTATGCGGAGGATGCTGCTCGCAGCCTTTATTTTTATTCAATTTTAAATTAACTTTTGATGGACATTGCTTGACAATGTGGTCGCAGCAGTCTAGCTACCTTGACGGTATTTCCAGGTGTAATAATAGTTGCCACCCAGCAGCCACATATACATAGTCACTCTGCCTACAGGCACGCACACACGCACGTATACACACGCACACTAACATGTACGTACATGTACATGCACACACGCACGTATACACACGCACACGCACACTAACATGTACGTACATGTACATGCACACACGCACGTATACACACGCACACTAACATGTACGTACATGTGTTAGTGTGCGTGTGCGTGTGTAATACGTGCGTGTGTGGCATCGTACCATGTAGTACATGTTAGTGTGCGTGTGTATACGTGAGTGTGTGCATGTACATGTACGTACATGTTAGTGTGGGGTGTGTATACGTGCGTGTGTGCATGTAACGTGTAGCGTACATGTTAGCGTCCGTGTGAATACGTGCGTGTGTGCATGTACATGTACGTAACATGTTAGCTGTGCGTGTGAATACGTGCGTGTGGTGGCAACTTTAGTACATGTACGTAGCATGTTAGTGGTGCGTGTTGAATAACAGTGCGTGTGTGCATGTACATGTACTACATGTTAGTGTGTGTGTGCGTGTGCGTGTGTATCGTGCGTGTGTGCATCGTACATGTACGTACAGGTTAGTGTGGCGTGTGTAATACGTGCGTTTGTGTGCATGTACATGTAACGTACATGTTAGTGGCGGTGTGGCGTGTGTATACGTAGCGGTTTGGGGTGTGGCATGTACATGTACGTAGCTATGTTAGTGGGCGGCGTGTGCGTTGTGTATACGTACGTGTGTGCATGTGGCGATGTACGTACATGATTTAGTGTGCGTGTGTGGCATGTACATGCACGTTACATGTTAGTGTGGCGTGTGCGTGTGTAATACGTGCAGTGTGTGCGTGTACATGTACGTAGCATGTTAAGCGTGGCGATGTGTATAGCGTGCGGTGTGTGCATCTGTACATGTACGTTACATGTTAGCGTGCGTGTTGTATACGTGCGTGTGTGCATCGTAGCATGTACGTACATGTTTAGTGTGCGTGTGTATACGTGCGTGTGTGCATCGTACATTGTACGTACATGTTATAGTGTGCAGTGTGCGTCGGTGTATACGTGCGTGTGTGGCATGTAGCATGTACGTAGCATGTTTAGTGTTGCGTGTGTATAACGTACGTGTGTGCATGTGCATGTACGTAACGATAGTTAGTGTGCGTGTGTATAACGTAAAGTGTAGTGCATGTGCATGTTACTGTACATGTTAGGCGTGCGTGTGTGCATGTGGGATGTGACGTACATGTTAGTGTGGGCGTGTGTATACGTACGTGTGTGCATGTGGCATGTACGTACATGTTAGCGTGCGTGTTGTGCATGTACATGTAGCGTACATGTTAGCGTGGATGTGTATACGTACGATGTGTGCATGTACATTACGTAATGTTAGCTGCTGGCGTGTGTATGAGTGCGTGTGTGGCATGTACATGTCGTAACATGTCTATCCCCCCCGCGTTGCATGTGTCAACGTGGCGTGTGTGCATGTACATGTACGTAACATGTTAGTGTGGCGTGTTGTATACGTGGCGTGTGTGCATGTTAACATGTACTGTACATGTTAGTGGTGGCGTGTGTATACGTGCGTGTGTGCATGTAGCATGTACGTAGCATGTTAAGTGTGGCGTGTGTATACGTACGTGTGTGCATGTTA